GTATATATATATATATATATATATATATATATATATATAATACCTTGCTACATGTACTGCGTTAGGCTAACCGAGACTTGTCATTTGCACTTACATATTGTTGCTCTTTTGTTAGTTTTGATTGCTTCTATTGTCCTCATTTGTAAGTCGCTTTGGATAAAAGCGTCTGTTAAATGACTAAATGTAAATGTAAATATTTTCTATAAAAACGTTAATGCCCCTAGCTTTGGTTTTATATTTAATTTAATTACATTAATGTTATAAGTTGAGATTTACAATAAATATTTTAACTGCTATATGTAAAAGGAATACTGCTGTAAAAAAGCACCATATTTGTTTAAAGTGTTTGCAAACCAAGTGTTATTGCACTTTTGTTCATATAGCCATACTTTTAAAATAAGTGCACAATACACTACTTTTGAATTCATTATTGAATTTTGCGCATAACAATGCGATTAATCACAGAAAAAATCATGTGATTAATCGCTATTTAAAAATAATAATAATAATTAATCGTTGCCCAGCACTAGTTTATTTTGTTCATGTCCAGTTCAGACCTTGAGCTTACAGTTCTCTGCCATGCATGCTTTCATTACTGACTTCCATTTATACTGATTACTGACTCTTTGAATACATTTGTTAATTATGTTTTGTTGTTGAATATACTGCTTATTTCACTACTTGCCCGTCAGTGTTGGCTCTTGTTCATGTTGCAATTGTGAGCTGGTTGTAACAGCACTAACATGAATATTACATTACACATTTTACCTTACACTGACATAAAACCCCACTTATATATTACAATCCAATAGAGGAGGTCAGTTAGTGTTCTAATGGTTTTTGATCAAACAAAACAAGGTGACTGGGACAACTAAAAATATCTAAGTAAGAGATGTAAGAGATAAGCTTTCAATCTGAATAGGTGTCCAAATAGATGTCCTTTACTTACCTATATGTATACATCAGTAATAAGTCTTCATAAATCTTGTTATGCTTTGTTTATTGAATATGTCATGAATCTCAAAACACAGAGATTAAAATTCACCACTTCCCATGTACAACACAATCTAGGATTTTTAAAATCATACATATATTGAAAGACATTAAAAATTACAGTAATATTTTCATTAAAATGTACCTTTAACACCTGATTTTAGTTTTCACAAAACAATACAAATTGTAATTTTATTTTATACTTTATATATAAGGCAATGTAAATGTTTAAATTTAAGATTAAAAATCTATTTCAACAATGTAAATTAACACAAATAATGTAATTAAAAACCAACATAGTACAAATAAAGTGTAATTGCCAACTAACTAAAGTAATCATATGTTCCTGTATACGTTCAAAGCATATTAGCATTGATTTTTTTTTTACTATGAAGACATAATGGTCATTTCTTTTCTAATGGCAACATCAGCTCACAATCTAACAAACAACATCCTATGATTTAGTCAAAGACAGAGACAGAAAATGCATCTAAGCAAACTAAAATGACAAACATTCTTATGATAATTAAAGAAACACATGTTCAGGCCAGCTTGTGGACATCTATTTTAGGGGTTATTATTCTCTGTGACATCCCTGGTTACTTGACATTTTGTCAAGCTCAGCTTCTTTTCTAATTTCTCGAGCAGTTTCTGCCAATTCATTTAATCCTTTTCTCAAGAATAACTGAGTAGAAGCAAAGGACAATCCGGCAGCAACAGCACTGCCCACAACTGGAATCAAACTCAGCAATTCTTCAGCAACAGAAACTGATATAAACATAGCAGATGTCTGTATTGTGGTCATTGTTTTATTTCTAATAGCAGCTGCAAACTTTGATTTGTCCCGACATTCCAGCAAGGGCTTGTTTACTTTTTCTGAAAGCCTTTTCAGTGATCTGTCATCCAAACCAAATGCATAGTAGCATCTGGTGAGGAAAAGCAACACAATAGTTGTATCACATGCTACTGATAGTCCAGGCAAAGGGACGGCTGCTATGCCAGCAGAGGCAAGAGATACAGCCCAGATCAGACCTTTAAACATTTTGATCTTCTTCTCAAGACATTCAGCAGAGCACACAGGCCAGGCTTGTAGAAGAGCAGATCTCTTATGTTCTGGGAGCTCTTCTGCTAGTGTGTTTTGAAGTATTTCAAAATCATATTTATCCAAGAAAAAAGAGGAAATCAAGAAAACTTTGGGGTTTCCCATTTTTTGTAGGTTTTTTTGACAATCCTCTCTTATTTTGGCAAGCACTTTCAGCTTATCAAATCGTTTGTTCTCCTTTTGCTCTGCACGGATGTCATTGTCAATCTTAGAACGAACAAAGTAAAAGCTTTTCTTGCATTTTCTTATTTCTTTAGCCAGCATGACGTCATTCTCCATGAACCTCTCCGAGTTCAAGATGATGAAGAAATCATAGGTGTTAAATTTGACATCTTTAAGGTATTTTTTTGCTTTGAAGTTTGGACTTCCTATTCCAGGCAGGTCCCAGATCTTCACATTTGGCATTCCAGGATGCTCATACATGGTGGGCTCCATTGTAGTTTCTGTGACTCCAGTAGGAGCTGCTCCAACATCATCTTTACGTAGACCTCTAAGTGCATTTATAAAGGAAGATTTCCCAGCTCCTGTCTTTCCAGTCACAGCGATGATAAGCGAGACATTTACGAGCTCGTCAAATTTGTCTTTAGCTTTTGCTGTAGCCCGTTCCCATGTGGACTCGCCTGATGCAGTTATTGCCTCATCAACCGCAGAGTCTCGAGTAGCCATGTTTTAAACTGCAAAAAAATATAAAAGTAAATTAAACATTACTTTATGCTTGAAGCTTGAATACTGCATGAATATTTATAATTTCTGTTATAATAATCGTCATATAGTTTCAGTGGTTTGATTTCCATTCAACCCTGAAGTTCTTTGTTTAATGAATGGAGTCAACATTAATAGCTCTCCCAATGTTTCCCAGTAATGACTTTGGCAAAATTACCACATAACTTAAAATAAAGTGATCAAACAAATGTAGTATACGTTTACATGAAAACTTAATTTTTTATTTAAAGCTCTCCACACAAAAGGCTAGTATGAAAACAATGCAGATTCAAACAAAGCATTAAAATTACCTTAATTTCTTGGTTGCAGCAGTAGTAGTCTCTTCGTACTTTGTTGAGAGCCTTGTGTTTCTCTTCAGTTACAATGAGGCTTGAGAATTTTCCCCTCCTCCAAGATATATAAAGTCTGGCAATCCTTTCAAGTGAGCTTAGAAATGCTGTAAGAATCTCAAAATGCAGAACATGAATATGAACTAATGTGAAACATTGTAACATACATATTGGTTATAGTGATTATCTAGTTATATGTTTGTGTATTTTGAACATACCTTGAACTTTTTTGAAACAGTCAACTTTACATAAACCTGTGTACTGTAATAGCCCAAAGGCAATAATGCATTCTTCCTGTTGCAGCATAGAGATCTCCAAAAAGGGGATGGGAACTCTGAAAGGGGTGGGGCATCTCCACAGGACTTGAACTCCTGAGAGTCTTAAATTACAGGTGTATTTTACAGTGAGGCTCTTATGATAAGATAGTTTTTTAAAAGGCTGTCCTCCTTTGAACATTTTATCAGTATTTTAAATTTACAGACCAAGAAAAATAAATTAAATATTATGTATATAAGAATATATTTTTAAATAAATATAGAAATAAAATTAGATAAATCTATTAAATATAAACAAATAAATATTTCCTTTTCCAGAAATAATATATTAATAACTTGATGTTTCTAATGATGTTTTTTCAAATAAACATATAAATTAAATAAAAAATAAACTAACCCATTAGGTGAGTGCACAGCATACACAGCAAAAAGCCCAGTGTTAAATTAACTCTCCCGGGAATTTATTTGAGTCCACACTCTTGAGCAGGAGTGGGCACTTCCAGTCCTTGAGGTCCACTGTCCTGCAGAGTTTAGCTTCATCCCTAATCAAACAGCTGATAAATCTAAGCACAATCTTCAGGATTTCTTGAAAATTGCAGGCAGCTGTGTTTAATTAGAGATCCCTGTCAACAATTTCCCTGCGTACCATTCAGAAGGGCTCATCCCTATGCCCTAATCCCTTCAAAGGGTTTACCCTCCGGAGTGAGAGCTTCGAAAGGTTGAAGGGTGTAGGGGACCAAACAACTGTTTCTTGAAGTGCCCTTCTGCGTCATCATCACGTGCCCACACGGAGGCGCCGTCATCATGGAAAGAATCTGCGCAAAGGATGATGGGAGCCCGAAGTGTCCCATTAGTTGTACCATTCGAAATCCTTCATTCCGAAGGACCCTTTGAAGTGGCCAGTTTTGAGCACTTCGGTTTGGAACGACCCTTCAATATGGCGACCATGATTGTTTTCACTCCGAAGTGCCCTTCGGAGGGCGATATATCCCGTTTGGAACGCACCGTTTGTCTCACAGTGATCTCAGCATATGTTCACAATGTGAGGTCACAGTGATCTACAAGTGTAACCTCATAGCGCTCTCACCATGTGGTCATACGGTGGTCACCCCAGCTAGACATTTTATTGGATGTGGACTCCAACATTACTCAGATGGCAAATTTTAGTTGAAAGTGAAAACAAAAATCTGAACATTTGTTTTATGTCAGGCTACTTCTTATTGAGATTAACAGAGATTTAATAGTTTGATTTGATGTCACCATTATGGTGGTCAGTATTTGCTTTAGCTGAGCAGTTTGACTGTTGTCTTTAATGTTAGCTCTTTTCTGACTGCTGTAACTCTTTGTTATGGCAAGAACAGCAATAGATACTATAATCAAGCATGTTTGTTGATGATGAAGACAATTTTATCATATAGCGGTCTGATTTCATCCAGAGTCTATTCTCTGGCTTTAATTTTACGTTCACAACAATTTTGGAATTCTACAGCATGAGATTGAGCAGCATTTTAATCAGAATTGTTTAAAAACTTTTCATAGAGACAAACATAAACCTCAAGAATCAGCGTATGAATCTCAATAACAGTGATATGCTTCATGCTGCAATACATTCTGGGTGCATCATGCAAAAATCATCAGTGGCTCCCAGAATGCTTGAAGCATGTCACCATTGTTGAGATTCATACACTGATTAGTAGTAAATATGCTGGATTAAACATCAAGATTTTTGATTGATGACGACCTTTGACCTCTTGCCCCAAGGGGATTGCCCCCTTGACCCAGACACCAATATCAAAATAAGTAAACAATTTTAATTCAATCATCCAAGTCTTATTCTCTTCTTTTAAATGAAATGAATATAAATTAATTATGTGATCACACACGATATAAAACAAAACAAAACATTTACACTTTTTTAAGGCGTTAGTAAAAATGTTGTACATTTTTCCAGGAGCGAGAAAATTTGTTTATTCATGTAAGATTATAAACACCAGTGTCAAAATAATTAACAAGGAAAAAAATATGTGACCCTGGCCCAGAAAAGCAGTCTTAAGTCGCTGGGGTATATTTGTAGCAATAGCCAACAATACATTGTATGGGTCAAAATTATAGATTTTTCTTTTATGCAAAAAATCATTAGGATATTAAGTAAAGATCATGTTCCATGAAGATATTTTGTAAATTTCCTACCGTAAATGTATCAGAACTTAAAGGGTTAGTTCACCCAAAAATGAAAATTAGCCCATAAATTACTCACCCTCAGGGCTGGATTGGTAATTGGGTATACCGGGCATTTTCCCGGTGGGCCGACGCACTTAAGGGGCCGACAGAATTTTAAAAAAAATTTTTGCCAAGGACCATCACGCAGGGACAGCGAGCAGCCAGTGGCCCATTGGATTGTCTCCTGTATAGACAGCGTAAACATCCAATCACAATGCGCTATAGACGGAGCGATGAAGTATTTTGCTCCGCCTATATAAAGATCGCTTCACTCCAACTTCTTCCTCGTCGGCTTTTCTTCTTTGATGAATAGAAAGATCAAAAGATCAGCATTTATCTGAAATAAAAAGCTTTTGTAACATTATACACTATACAATTCAAAAGCTTGGAGGTCCAGACGCTACAGAAATTAATACTTTTATTTAGCAAGGATGCTTTAAATTGATCAAAAGTGATAATAAAGAGATAAATGCTGTTCTATTCATCATCTGAAAAATTCTACTCAGCTGTTTTCAACATAATAAAATTAATAAATGTTTTTTTTTGCAGCAAATCAGAATATTTGAATGATTTCTCAAGGATCATGTGACTTGAGTAATGATGCTAAGAATTCAGCTTTGAAATCACAGGAATAAATTACATTTTAAAATATATTCAAATAGAAAAGTTTTTTTAAATAGTAAAAATATTTCACAATATTACTGCTTTTGCTGTATTTTGGATCAAATAAATGCAGGCTTGGTGAGCAGAGGAGACATCTTTAAAAAGCATTAAAAATCTTACCGTTCAAAAACTGTTGACTGGTAGTGTATAGGCCTATCATATATTCATATATATATATAAATGGTGGTGGGCTGCCTGGACCAAAAAATGCCTGGGCCGATTTTTTGTCCCAGTCCAGCCCTGCTCATCCTCATGTCATCCTAGGTGTATATGATTTTCTTCTTTCACATCCAGTCGGAGTGTCCAAAAGCAGTTAAATAAAAAGCGCCCATCCATAAAATAAGTGTCTCACACGGCTCCGGGGGGTGAACAAAGGCCTCCTGTAGCGAATTGATGCGTTTTTGTAAGAAATATAACCATATTTAAAACGTAATAATCACTTTAATGTAGCTTGTGCTCACTGTTGTACATGGAAGCAGCAGCTCCGGGTAGATGACGTATGAGGTCGGCTATTCAAGGATATTTAACCTTGTCATTGTGCCTTTTTTTCTGTGTAATCTTATACTTTGATGTAAATAAACCCATTATATTTATGTTTTCTGTCATTATGATTGTTCATGGTTAAAGATACAGCCATCTTTCCCTGAGCTTGTAAGTAATTAAAAGTTCTGCAGTAATAATAATAAAAAGAAGATAAGAGTGACAGGTGCACAAACACCTCATAGCATCAGTAACTCCACAACCCTACCTAGTACGGGTTTCCTCAGCGCTTGCAATGTCTGCACAAAGAAAATGTCGGGCAGCTGCACGAAGATCTCGCCTTTGGGGAAGACAGCTGATATTATACAAAAAAAATTTAAGCATTACTACTTAAAAAGTAAGATTACCCCAGAATGCATTGCTAGCTCACCCCAACACTTACGAACAATAATAATGATAATAAAACAAAAATTAGTTTTGTCATATGCCATAGCTATGCATGACTACACACTAGACAAATGCAGCCAAGGTGAATACATCTCAATTTTCAGTCAAGTAATGAATTAATGCATAAGTTAATGAAACAATTAAATTGTATTTACTGAAAAAAAACAGGAAACATGAATAAATGAGTAAAAGAATAAATAACAGTAAGCATCACAATAAATAAATACAAGTCAACAACACATGAAACAAAGCTTTATTCAAACTTTTCTAACAATGATGTATTTACAGGTGGTGAAGCCACATCCTACTGCCATCTCAACACAGCTTTATTCTGATGAAGCAGCTGACCACTGTGTCCACCTTCACCTGACTATCATTGCTGCAGTCAGACTGAATCTGATCATGGATGGGAAACGGACATCGAGGCTGTCGTTGCCTGACTGCACAGAGAGGATGAGGAAGACCATGATGACGGCCCTGAACCACACAATCATGAGGCAACAGCAGGAGAACATGTGCAGGACAATCTGACTGCTGCTGTGTCTGCAGTCTGTGTGCTGCACTCCATGAGCATGAAAACACAATTAAACAGAGTAAAACATTTTACATCTCATGTTGTCAGCATTACATTTCTTTCCAAATTTCATTTCATATGTTTACAATTACATGTTAATTTTTTGTTATAGCTTTATTACTTCTGTGGTGTAGTGGGCAAAACCACTGAACTGGTTCGTCACCACCAGTGTGTCCTTGAGCAAGGCTTTTTACTCCAGGTTACTCCAGGGGATTGGGGGTCCCTATAATAAGAGCACTGTAAGTTGCTTTGCATAAATGTAACTGTGATTTTGTTTGTGTCTCGGGCCCCACCACAAAAGCACTGCTGCAAAATCAAGAATCAGAAAAGTGCTGTAATAGCTCTGTTTGAAATTAAAACAATTAAAATAAATTAAAACATTTTTTAAATCTTAAGTTGTAATTTATTTCAGTGGTATACTCACTCAAAGCCTTTGATGGCAGCATTCCTTCATCAGTCACTCTGCACCGTGTCTCATCCAGACGTGCTCAATACTGCATTTACATGTTGAGGTAGTTGCTGATTTGTTAACTCACTTTTTACCCAACACAAATATTCCTCAATTTATCAACAGTACTAATGGACAAATGAAATAGATAACTCATGCTT